CTTGGGTTGTTGGTCAGGGTGGTAAAAAAACATACCTCTCATCTAAAAGGGACTAAGAGACAGTTTATTCTGGAACCAGATATGAGTGACAATGTCTTAGGAACACAGATACAGGTCATCCCAACATGTTCCAACATGGTACAAGTTTCCTGAAGACTTTTATTATTTTAAAAAGTAATGACACTCTTATTGTTTAGCACTATGTGTGCATACTCAGTGTGGTGGTCAGAGGTCAAACTTGTAGGAGCCAGTTCTCCTTCCATCATATTTGTCTAGGGGCTAGAACTCAGATCATCAGGCCAGCTGTCTCTCTGGTCCATATGAAATGTTTAAAGTAGCGGAACAAATGAAAATATAAATCAAAAACACTTACAAAAATACCTTAGTGGGTGGTGGTGGCACACGCCTTTAGTCCCAGCACTTGGGAGGCAGAGGCAAGCAGATCTCTGTGAGTTTGAGGCCAGCCTGGTCCATAGAGTGAGTTCTAGGACAGACAGGGCTACATAGTGAGACACTGTCAAATAATAAACAAAAAAAAATTAAAAACAAAATAAGATATCTTAGTGGAAACATCAGGTAAGCTATGAAATCACTGTCACAGGCTTCAGATGTCATCACATGACATTTTTAATTTAGGGAGGTAGTAGATGCCAGTGATATGTCATATATTAGAGGGGATTTGCCTAGAAGCCACAGGGATGAATTAGGCCAAACAAGGGGTGAGCAATGAATGCCTATGAAGAGAACTAAAACCATCCCAAGATAATTTGGCTGCAGACCTGCAACACTGTGACATCCCAGCTCTCAACAGCCATGGAAGTTCACAGCCAGTTAATCGGTCTTATAGAACCTTTATATATAATAGGTGTGGCTCCCGCCACCCCAAGTTCAGTTCACACCTGTGATCACACCTTTTAAAATAATTTATCTAACTTTCTTTTATGGGCATTGGTGTGAAGGTGTCATATCCACTGGAACTGGAATCACAGGCAGTTGTGAGCTGCCATGTGGGTGCTGGGAACTGAACCCAGGTCCTCTGGAAGAACAGCCAGCATTCCCAACCACCGAGTCATCTCTCCAGCCCCTGATGAAACTTTTAAACTTTCCCTAAACTTAGCAGTGTTCAGAAAATCCTAAAAGGGAGCCTAAGGACAGATTACAAGCCCAGCCTTGGGAAATCTCAAACCCATCAAGAAATTCTAAGAAAAACTGTCTTTATGGCAATGTTATCTACACCCCACAAACCAAACTGTTGATCTTGGTAGGGCCATGTCTCCTGCCTGGCCACTAGAGAAAAGAATGAGTCTAGGACTTGAGTAGTATGAGTGTGATGGAATATTGCCTTACCCCCTAACAGTCCTTCCAATCTCATCTTCCAGTTGGTACACAAAGAGATTCCTGTAGGAAATACTCACAAATATTCAAAGTTAATGGTGACTACTATTTCCATTGTTTTCTATGAGTTCATGAGTCTCTAGCTCAGTAGTTCTCAGCCTTCCTAATGCTGGGATCCTTTACAGTTCCTCATGTTGTGGTGACCCCACCCCAACCACAAAATTATTTTCATTGCTACTTCATCACTACTTTTTTCTACTGTTATTAATTGTAATGTAAATATCTGTGTTTTCCAATGGTCTTAGGTGGCCCCATGAAAGTGCTTGTTCAATCCCAAGGGGGTAATGACCCAGAGGTTGAGAACCACTGCTCTAGCTGAGCGGGTTGGGGTTTTACTGTAAATGGAAGAAAACACTAAACAAGTGGCTTTAAGTGCTGGGCTATGTAGCTCAGTGATAGATACTTAATATTTGAAAAGCCCTGGGTTAGGCCATTCCCACATCTCAAGTGAGCAATAACTTAAAGTAGACACTTGCTTTTCTCCAAAGGGCAAGCTTGAAGGGCTGCCCAGGATTGTCTCCTGAGACAATTGCTTCTTGACCTCCTTGCCATTCTCAATGTGTGTCTACTCCACCCTGGCCCAGCATGGTTTTTCAGGTCAAGTCTACACTCCACATAGGAGAGAAGGGGACATGGGAAAGAGAGGGCATTTTTCCTCCCACTAGAGACACTTCTAACACTGCACAACACCTTTACATCTGTAGTTCCAGAACACAGTCATTGGCCACACCCAGCCAGAAGGGGGCTCGGCGGCGTGGCCTTCATATCACAGGTCTTGCCAACTCAGACAAAGTTTCTGAAGAAAGGAACACCGGGGCATCCCTGCCAGTCATTCACCTACTGTTATTAATTGTAATGTAAATATCTGTGTTTTCCAATGGTCTTAGGTGGCCCCATGAAAGTGCTTGTTCAATCCCAAGGGGGTAATGACCCAGAGGTTGAGAACCACTGCTCTAGCTGAGCGAGTTGAGACAGAATGTCTTATTTATTTATTTTACATTTATTTACTTATATGGGTGAACGAATGTCACAGAGTGGGTGTGGGGGACAGAGGACAACTTGTGGAGTAGGTGGTCTCTCCTTCTACAAAGTGGGTCCCAGAGTCAAACTCGGAGCATCAGGTTTGGTGGCAATGCTTTTATCCATTGAGTCATCTTGCCTGTCCCAATAAATGATTCTTTTCACCTCTCTGTAGACCAGCCTTCGGTGTTAATAAATTCTGTTTCATAGTTTCCAGGATGGCCGCAAGATGAGTTCTCAGCCTTTAATCCCAGCACTCTGGAGGCAGAGGCAGGCTGATCTCTGTGGGTTCGAGGCCAGCCTGGTCTACAGAGCGAGCTCCAGGATAAGCTGCAAAGCTACACAGATAAACCCTGTCTCGAAAAACAAAACAAAACAAAAGATGAATTGTTAGCCCAATTCCATGAGCCTTTTTCAGTAGTGGACTTGGCTTCTGGATCTTAAGCCAAATTCAGGGAGAGAGAGCTTGATTGGTTGCACCAGGTCTGGTGACACCACCTCAGTCAGCACTATGCTAGGACGCCCCTTTAGGGTGGACTGGAGCAGATCTCTAAGATACATGGTGTAGGGGCCTCTGCTAAGCCTGCATTACAACTTCCCTCTAACTGCCCTTTGCACTGTGTAGGCTGTCTGTCCTTAGGGAAGGGGTAATGGGGTGGAGGTGGGGCCTTGCTCCTGTCTTTAACCCATAGCCTTGGCATAACATCAGATGCAAAATGAGCAATCCAATGTAGCCCATAACTTTACTAAGGTTGGAAAAAAAAAAACTTTACTGAGGTTGGAAAAAAAAAAAGAACAACCTTTACTGAGGTTGAATGCTGGATAGATTTCAGAAGAAAGTTCTGTCAAGGGCTGTACAAGGGACTATGTGCCTTGACTCTAGTGCCAGAATCGATTTCCCAGAATTATCCAGATAATTGTCGTTTCTTTTGTTTTGTTTTTGAGACAGGGTCTCTCAGCATGGCTATCCTCACCATGCAGATCCACTGCCTCTGCCTCCTGGGTGCTGGGATAAAAGGCATGTGCCATGTGTGTCCAGCCTTTCTTTTCTTTCTTTTCTTTTTCTTTTTTTTTTTTTTTTTGAGTTCTTTTATTGTGATTTTATTGTCTCCATACCAAGAGCAGCTTAGAACTGGATCACCTGGCCCTTTCTCTTCTTATCGCCTCCCAGTTCAAAATGCTTGCATCTCTTAATAGCCAGCATCCTCTTAGATCTGCAGTTGGGCTCAACACACTCAAGCCTCAGCACAATCTTCTTTGTAGTTTTAGCCTTTTTTCGGAAAATAGGCTTAGTCTGCCTACCATAGCCACTCTGTTTCCTGTCATAACACCGCTTTCCCTGGGCATACAAAGAATCCTTGCCCTTCTTGTACTGTGTCATTTTATGGGGCTGGTGCTTGCCACATTTCTTGCAGAACGTCCGGCGGATCTTAGGAACGTTCACCATGTTGGCGGGCAGCCTTTCTTTTCTTTACATTTTTTCTAGACAGGGCCTCATGCATCCCAAGCTGGCCTCAAACTCCCTATGTAGCTGAGGATAGCTCAGACTTCCAGTGGACCACATCCTCCGGCCTCTACTTCCCAAATGTACTCATAATTCCTGTTTATGTGGTGCTGGGACTCTACCAACTGAGCGAGCCACCCAGCCCTGGTTACAATTTCTGTCTCACTGTTCAGCACTTGGTGTGTGTGCCTCTGCCCAGGACTAGAGAGAAGCTCTCTCCTGGCCCAGCATATCATCCCAACATTTGGGAGGCAGAGGCAGTAGTTAACGTCCGAGGCCAGTTTTGTACTTGCAGAGTGTTTGAACCAGTCTGGACTACACAAGACCACGTAGAGAGAGGGGGATGGGAAGAGAGAGAGACAGAGAGAAAAACATAGATAGAGATGGGGAGATGGAAATAGGGGAGGCACACTTACAATCCCAGCATTTGGAAAGCCGAGGTTATCCTCCGTTACACACGGAGTTGAGACAAGCTTACATGATCTTGCCAAACACACATGCGCACATGTATGTATGCACACACAACAACCCCCCGCCACACACACACAAAATGCCTTACATGTGGCCCATAAGAGTTCAAGCTGGGGCTGGGCAGTGGTGGTGCACACCTTTAATCCCAGCACTCGGGAGGCAGAGGCAGGAGGATCCCTGTGAGTTCAAGACCAGCCTGGTCTACAAGAGCTAGTTCCAGGACAGCCTCCAAAGCCACAGAGAAACCCTGTCTCAAAAAAAAAAAAAAAAAAAAACAAAAACAAAAGAGTTAAAGCTGGAGGACACCGTCTATACTGCCAGTCCCTTGCCTGTGTCAGCGTTCCTGCCAAAGCTCTATTCTGGACCCCATTAGGGCCAATACTGATCAGGCCTTGCCCAAAATGAGGCTCTGCATGCAGGAACACTCAAGGAGCTGGGCTCAGGGATGAGGCAGAGACTGAGGTGAAGACAAAGGCATTTGTCAGACTGCTGTTTGGGGACACCGGATGCAGAGGAGAGCGAATGTCCCCTCCTTACCACTCCTGTGCTCATCACTTGTCTTCCCTCACGCCTCACTACACTTCTGTTTTTGCCTCACCTGTCCTTGCAGGCATCTAACCCTCTGTGGCAATCCCGGGGCTCCACAACTGTATCTTCAGGAGGTCGTTTCCGCTGCCCATCTTGCAGGCATGAGGTTGTCCTGGACCGGCATGGGGTCTACGGCCTTCAGCGGAACCTGCTAGTGGAGAATATTATTGACATCTACAAGCAGGAATCCTCCCGGTAAGCTGCCTGGGCTGCTGACCTCTCTGGAGGGAAGAGCCTGCACCATCAGGGATAGAGGGGTTGTCTTAGTCAGGGTCACCATTGCTGTGATGAAACACCATGACCAAAAACAACGTGGGGAGGAAAGGGTTTATTAGGCTTAGGCTTCCACATCACAGTCCATCACTGAAGGAAGTGAGGATCAGAAACTCAAACAGGGCAGGAACCTGGAGGCAGGGGCAGACGCAGAAGGCATGGAGGGTGCTATTTACTGGCTTGTTCCTCATGGATTGCTCAACCTGCTTTCTTATAGAACCCATGATCATAAGCCCAGGGGTGGCCCCACCCACAATGGGCTGGCCCCTCCCCCATCAATCACTAAGAAAATGCCCTACAAACTTGCCTACAGCCCCATTTTATGGAAACATTTTTGTTTTTGTTTTTGTTTTTGTTTTTCGAGGCAGGATTTCTCTGTGGCTTTTGGAGGCTGTCCTGGAACTAGCTCTTGTAGACCAGGCTGGTTTCAAACTCACAGAGATCCTCCTGCCTCTGCCTCCCAAGTGCTGGGATTAAAGGCGTGTGCCACCAACGCCCGGCTGGAAACATTTTCTTAATTGGGGCTCCCTCCTCGAAAATAACTTTAGCTTGCATCAAGTTGACATAAAACTATCCAGCTCTTGGGTGGGGACACATATATCCACAATAGGGAAAGAATCGGACCCAGAGAGGAGGGAATTGGTCTCCTATCCAGGAAGCCTCACTTTGCCTCTGGAGCCAGTGTTAAATCTTACTCCCCCTGGTCTATGACCAAAGTCAACCCCAATGTGCTTAACCTCACCTGCTCCCATGATTCCCTGTCCTGTGGGACATCTTTGCCCCCCTGCAATGGACTCTTCTTGGGCCCAGTCTTCCTTGGAGCATCTTTGCCTCCCCAAAGTAAGAACCCAGTGTGAGTTTCTCACCACTGGTCACAGCCTGACTCCCTGGAAATTGCTGCTCCCTTGTCCATGGTCCTCAGGCCACTGCACTCCAAGGCTGAACAGCACCTCATGTGTGAGGAGCACGAAGATGAGAAGATTAACATCTATTGCCTGAGCTGTGAGGTGCCCACCTGCTCTCTCTGCAAGGTCTTCGGTGCCCACAAGGACTGTGAGGTGGCCCCTCTGCCCACCATTTACAAACGCCAAAAGGTATCTAGCCAGGGAGGGATTGGGGAAGGGGGTTTAGGCTGGGACAGTTCCCATTCTGCTTAGGTAAGGTGTAGCAGATCAGGGCCAGAGCACCAGGACTATTCTTGACTTGACACACAACCTTGAGGATGTCTCTGCCCCTGACATCCTTCGTCAGACCAGGTGAAGATGATGGTTGCTGTCACCATATCATTAGATAATGCATGGCAGCAGTGGCTTCCATACCGAGCACTGGACACCCTCAAGGGTCTTTAGTCATGCAGTTAGCTTCTACATATGCTGTCATTTTTAAGATCAGATTGGTTGGGACATGAGAAGAAAGGGGGGTCCTAGGAAGGGTGGGGAGGACAGGGTCAGAGAGCCACTGCAAGCAGAATAGGTTTTGTTTCTCAGATGAGCAGTGCTGGCTAGAGGGAGGTGGCTATATTACAAACCCTGTAAAAGGTATGTTGGTAAGGGTGCGTTCTAAGATTCCCAAAACCTCAGCTCATGTTGGAATCCCAGAATATTAAAGCAGTCAATTGTATCACCAGACTTGTGACAGAAACAAATGCAAATTCTAAGCTGGAGGAAAAGCCCTTCATTGTAGACCCTTAGCATGACCTTAGATTAATATCAATGCAACAGTCATTCACAACTGAAGATACACGGAGAATGCACTCTGTAGCCAGGCAGTGGTGGCGCACGCACGCCTTGGGCTCTGAGAGCTGCTGGTAGCAATGGCTTTACCAGAGGCCACAAGAATATACAGCAGATGGCAATTGACAGTTGAGGTGTTGAGCCATCAGAGGAATAACTCTCTGTTGGAGAAAACCTCATCAAGTAAGACTTCACAGGTCCCCAGACTATGAAAACTGGTTGCTGCTATCTGTAATTTTTCTCATGTGCCACCACATTCCTTCCCTAAAAACAGCTACAGGTATTTCCCCACTGCCTGTGTGTTTACCTCATACATACATACATACATACATACATACATACATTCCATCTACTGGCACACATACAGCTGGGGATGGTCAGGAAGATGATTTCTGTTTAGCTGTAAAATTTTTATGAGTAAAAATAATACTAAAATATTTTTCATAGCTCAGACTGACATAAAGAAATTACATTATTCTCAGTTACAAAGACAGCTTTTTACCCCATTAGCTGTTTTTAGACCTTAAAACAAATTCAAAATAGACTAGTTACCCCTGCAAAATATGCACAAGGGCAACTTGGAGTTCCAAGCCAGCCTGGACTATATAGGGAGACCCGTTGTTAAAGAAAAATGAAGATGAAATAAAACAACAAGTAGGATTGGAGATGTAGTACATTTGCCTTGCACAAGATCCAGGGTAGATTTCCAGAACTAAAAACATATGTAAAATGACCATGCAACAGTCTGTTGAGGTGGTGTACACTGTAATCCCGGCTGGAGCAAGAGGATCATAAGTCCAAAGTGCCAGATTAGAAAATAGAGAAAGGTCCAATCAAAAACAAAACAAAACAAAAACTCCAAAACAAACAAACAAACAAAAAACAGACAGAAAAATAGATTTGACAAGGAACCAAGTAGAGCTTTTAGGAATTAATAACTGTTGAAAAACCAGTGGATGGATCAAGTGATGGATTTCTCACAAGAAAGAATTACTCAACACAGAAGAGTGCAAACAACAAACAAACATTCAAACATATAAACAAACAAACCCAGAATGCACTGGGGAGTGGGAGGTTGAGGATGAGAAAGAAGGTCTAACATAAGTCCTATTGACTCACAGAATGAAAAGGACAGAAGGGAGGCAGGGTTGTTGGAATGGGCAGCCCTAGGAATTTTTCAGAATTAGTGGAGGACATAACTACTGTTAAAGCACAAGGCCGGAGACTGGTGCACAGTGGGTAACTAGAGACTGGTGCACAGTGGGTGATTAGAGACTGGTGCACAGTGGGTGATTAGAGACTGGTGCACAGTGGTGACTAGAGACTGGTGCACAGTGGTGACTAGAGACTGGTGCACAGTGGTGACTAGAGACTGGTGCACAGTGGTGATTAGAGACTGGTGCACAGTGGTGACTAGAGACTGGTGCACAGTGGTGGCTAGAGACTGGTGTACAGTGGTGACTAGAGACTGGTGCACAGTGGGTGACTAGAGACTGGTGCACAGTGGTGGCTAGAGACTGGTGCACAGTGGTGGCTAGAGACTGGTGCACAGTGGTGATTAGAGACTGTCACTTCCCTTCACATTTGGGAGTGGGGGCACCTAGAATCCACAGGATGTGTTCCCATGTTTCTTGAACTATTCCAAGCCTTCTAGACCTTTGTAGATGCCCCTGAATAGGTGAGGTGGAGACAGTCCGTGGGATTGAGGGAAGCTGCTGCAGGCTGGGGCTTCCAGCTCTAACAACTAGCCCATGTGTGTGACAGAGCGAGCTGAGTGATGGCATCGCGATGCTGGTTGCAGGCAATGACCGTGTGCAAGCAGTGATCACGCAGATGGAGGAGGTGTGCCAGACCATTGAGGTGAGCCTGGGCCGGGAGGACAAAGGGACAGAATAGTCAACAGTCTGTCTGGGATCCTCATATTCAAAGAGAACTGTTTCTCTTTGACCTCTGGTCAAACTGGCCAGAAAGTTTCTGGACACTAGCTCATGGTGAATTGTTTTTAGCCAGGTTGATCCTAGCACTCTGCAATGTTGGTCAAGTTGCTTAAATCTTCTATGCTTTGGCTTTGTTTGTTTTTTGACTATATATAAGATAGAGATGACCAGTGGGGTGGAGGTAGAATAATAGCAAGTTCCAGGCCAGCCTAGGCAAGTTATGGAGATACTATCTCTAAATAAACCAATTAAATAAATAAGCAAGCAGGCCGGGTATTGGTGCACATGCCTTTAATCCCAGAACTTGGGAGGCAGAGGCAGGTGGATCTCTGTGAGCTCGAGGCCAGGATAGGCTCCAAAGCTACACAGAGAAACCCTGTCTCGAAAGACAGACAAACAAAAAAACCACAACAACAAAAAAGCAAGCAGGGCATGTTAATTCAAGACAATGCCAGCACTTGGAAGCTAAAACAGGAGGATTTCCCATTTAAAGTCCAGTTGACCCATCTCAAAAATAAATGAGTAAGGATGAAGAGATGGTCCAGGAGTTAAGAGAAGGTATTACTATTGCAGAGGACCAGAGTTCAGTTCCCAGCACTCACACTGCATGGCTCAAAACTGCCTGTAACTCCATCGCCAGGGGAGTTCAATTCCTCCGCCCTCCTCAGGCACCCACACAATGAAATCGTGGGAATAAATAAACAAGCAAAATAAAAAATTAAAAGATAAAAGAGGCTGGGAGGTGAGAGTAATCAGACATTATATATGCATGAAATAATTAATGAATACATTTAATTAAAAATTATGTGATAAGAACTAATTATATACCCTTATAATATAGTTAACTAAATATATTTGAATATTGATACGTATTTCCAGTTAATAAATTTCAGAAATTTAGATTTACTGTTTTATTTTCAATTATGTGTATTTGTGTGTGTCTGTGTATGGGTTGTGCACATGAGTGCTAGCCCCCATGGAGGCCAGAGGAGCTTGTTGGATTCCTTGGGTTACAAGAAGTTGTGAACCCTCTGGCATGGATATAGGAACAGAATTCAGGACCTCTGCAAGAGCAGGACACACTAACAGGGGAGTCATCTCTCCAGCTGTCTAACCAATGTCTACATTTTGAAATAAGGCTTAATTTCATATCAGAGCAGAAAATTAATTATATAAAACTCAAATAATGTTTAAAAATGATGCTGACAGTGACATGGTAGCTAAGTCGTTTTATTTTATTTAAGAAGCAAGTGGAAATTAAAGCAAAGCAAAGCCAGGGCCAGTGACATACATGGCTCCCAGAGCAGCTTTGAAATATGTTGTCTTCCTTGTTAATTGAAAAGATATGAGCTGGGTTCTGTGCCTCTAACTCAAAGTGTGACCCTAATCACACTTTCCTCCTTTGCTCTCCTGAGTTCTATTTAAGGGGTGAGAGGGATAAAATACCCTGCTCTGGCAGCTCTGGGGGTGCTCGGGCCACGACCTCCTTCGGACTTTCTCTGATCTTCCAGGACAACAGCCGCAGGCAGAAGCAACTGTTAAACCAGAGGTTCGAGACCTTGTGCGCCGTACTGGAGGAGCGCAAGGGCGAGCTGCTGCAAGCGCTGGCCCGGGAACAAGAGGAGAAGCTGCAGCGCGTGCGGGGCCTCATCCGTCAGTACGGAGACCACTTGGAGGTTTCCTCTAAGCTGGTGGAGTCCGCCATTCAATCCATGGAGGAGCCGCAGATGGCTCTCTACCTCCAGGTGAGCGGAGAGGGAGGGTGGCAGAAACCAGGGACGGGGGAACCCGGTCAAGTCTTAACCTGCGGTACTTTCTTGTCACCACGACCTGGGCAAAGTCACCCTTCTACTTGGGTTCTCTCCTTAACGAATTGGGATAAACGCCCCCACCTACCCCGCAGGACTGGTGAGAATCAGAAATCGGACTTTGCCGGGGCTGGCCCAGCGCTCACCTTGGCCCCCCTTTTCTCCCCTGCAGCAGGCCAAGGAGCTGATCAACAAGTGAGCAACCTGTGCGGTGGGAAAGGAAGGGACCCTGTGGATTCTTTTCTTCCGATCTGGGGAGGGGCTTGCGGGAGCTGAGGCGTTCCCCTGCTGAGCCCTGTGGCCGTCACAGGGTCGGGGCAATGTCGAAGGTGGAGCTGGCAGGACGGCCGGAGCCAGGCTATGAGAGCATGGAGCAATTTTCTGTGAACGTGGAGCACGTGGCCGAAATGCTGCGGACCATCGACTTCCAGCCGGGTGAGGGAGCCGAGGGAGGGACTGTTTGGACCCGCCCCAAGGGTATGAAGTGGACGCTACAGCCAGAGGAGCAGGGGCTCCACATCACCTGGCCTGCCTTCCACCTAGGCGCCGCGGGGGATGAGGAGGATGACGAGGTGGCTTTGGAAGGGGACGAGAGCAATGCAGGGCTGGAGGAGGAGCGGCTGGACGGGCCAGAAGGTGAGAGGTGGACGAGGGTTTTGGGTGAGGAGTGATTGGCCAGCGGTGGGCGGTTGCCTTCCCAGGGCACCAGGACTCGCTGGTAGTCCCCCATTCGGGTAAGTGTCTCGCCACAGGAGCCGCAAAGCGCGCCCCCTAGCGCGCGCGGAAAAGCGCACTCTTCCCACGGTTGGTTTTGCTCGGGCTTTGGGGACCCAGGTGGGTCAGCGAGTAGGACAAACGCAGCTGCCTGGGGGAAGCTAACCGTCGCGGGGCTGTGCGAGCGTGCGCGCGCGCGGGGGTGGGGTGGGCTGGGGTGTGTTCTTCTGCAGCACCCGCCCACCAAGCTGCCTTTCCCGGCAACAGGCCTGCACTGACCAGACCCTGATTCAGAGTGCGAGCCCGCAACGGGAGGCAAGGCATGCTGAGGACCGGCTCAGAGACCACGGCGGCGCAACCCAGCTAGGCATCCCGCCCCCGGGAAGGGTCTCAATAAAAGAATCTTGCGTCCTACGTCCCGTCTTCTTTCCCTGCCCACTCCAAGTCTCTGCTGTAGAAGCAACCTCGCCATCAGTCTGCCCTTTCTCAACCCGAGATCACTAGAAGGGGTGGAGGGGGGATGATAACCCCCGGATGAGCACCTCCTTTACACCAGAGGTGGACTCCTGAGCCCGAGACCTCGAAAGGAGTGGGGTCTCAGGACCCGAGTTCCGGGCTGGGGGAAGGGCGATGAGTCCCCGGGGACTTAACTGATAGCTTTCCTCTCCGGTCCCGCTTAGCATGCTTGTGTCTGCTACCGGCCTGGGGAGCCCCTCTCCCCCCCAGAGTTCCCTCCCTTCTACAGTTGCCGTTGCCGCCCCGCCTCCCCACGACAGACGAAAGAGGCTAAGCTCTAGGGCAGTTTTATTTTTTTACAAAAATAACCACACAGAGTGCTCAGGGTGACTCTGGCGGCACTGCACCGAGGGACTAAGCCAGCTTCGGTCGCGTGAGCTTCAGCCCCGGGGTAGGCAGGGGGAAGGGTCGAGCCTTTCGGGGTCCCACACCGGGCGGATCACTTGCCCACCGCGTTGAGTATGATGCGGTTCTGCTCTGCGCGCTCGCGCTGGCTCTGTGTCCGGGCCAGCTCCAGCAGGGTCCGCAGCAGATGGAATGTGAGGTCGATGGACAGCGGAGGATCGTCTCGTCGCTGCCGCTCGCCTGCGGTCCCCGATCCCGCGCGGCGCGGGAAGCGCTCGGCTAACAGCAAGAGGAGTGCGCGGGCGCCGCCGCCCTGATTCCGCGCCCCGGGACTCCATCGCAGATTCGGATCCTGGACCCCAGTCGCCGCCTCAGTCGCCGGGCTCCACTGGCTGCTCCCGGGGCGCAGTTGTGCCAGGAGCAGCAGTGCCACTAGGAGCGCAGCGCGTCCCCTCTGCCTCATGGTGCCGCCTGCCCTGGACACACAGGGGCAGCATAGGGTGAGGTGCGCTTGGAGCAGCCGCAGGTGACACGAGCCCCTTCTTGCGCACGCCCAGTGCCCCCGCCGGGACCCTCCAGCTGTCGCCTGGTGTCTACAGCCTGCCCACCAGTCCCAGCCGCTGGGCCAGTCCAGTTCCACCCCTCTCTCCCTCCTTCCCTCCCGGCGGGTCGCAGTGGGTAGGCTGAGTGCAGTCTTGGTGCTAAGGGAGTCGGAATCGTTGCTCCGAGCCACTCACATGTTGTCGGAGTGTCTGCCCGGTGCAAGATGGAGCTCCAGTCTCTGTCCCCCGGGGCGGGCTGAAGACGCCTTGGGGAGCACGGGGTCTGTCCCGGGACCGCTGCCAGCCTTATATAGCACCAGGACAGCTCCGACTGACGTCAGCGAAGAACATGAACTGATTGTAGAAGCAATGACAGCGGCAGCTTCGAGTCCAGCAACTTCGAGCCCCCAGAGGGGCACGCATCCTGATCCTGGATCTAGCTTTGGAAGCACCCTGGCTGTAGAGGAGGGAGACGCTAGCTGAGGCATAAAGATTGCTCTTTCCGGATGCAGAGTCCTTCCTGCACATAGAACAGAATAGGCTAGTCCGGGTTTTCTTCAAGAAAGAAAAGGAGCCTCAGGACCCGTGGATCTGCCCATGGTCCTGAATTTACCAGCCCCTGAGAATCCGCCCAAAAGCTCTGGGGAGACTCCTGTGCTGCTTAGACACAGTCCCCAGGCTGACTACCGAGTCTCCAAACTAAGGTCAGGAATGTTCTGCCAGCAGGGACTCGACCAACACAGTCCCACACAAAGACCCTCTGCCCCAACTGGTCTGTCAGGGTTCTTGACCATCTTACAGCAGCAGAATCTAAAATCTACAGGTATCAGATTGTACATGATATAAAAAGGTTTGCTTTTCAGAACACAACTCACTGATCCGTCTTTCTGAGTTTGATAGACGTTAGCCCCTTCCCACCCAGAACCACAGCAAAAGTACTATTATACCTTTTTACCTTCTAGTTAAGATCACTAGGTAGGAAGTGAGAAAACTTGGGCCCCAGTTCCTGCTGTGCCATCAACACATGGTGTGATCAGGTTCATTTCTGGAGATGCTGGTGTCGATCTTTGTAAATGAAGGCCAGGCTTGAACAGCTCCAGTTTCCAGTTATAGATATGTCTGCAGTCTCCTCAAGGGTTTTATCCATGACCGCTGCAGACTGCAGGTAATAATGTATTTATTTATGTGTCCATAAAGACACTCAGAAGGTCTCAAAGGGCACTGGGACCCAGAAAAGTTAGGACGACAGACGTTCTGGGCTAGGGATGTAGCTCAGTGTTGGAGTACTTGACTAGCATGTACAAGGCTGAGTCCAATCCTGAACACGGGACAGAAACATATATCTATAGGAAGTGGGGATGAGCTGGGCAGCAGTTGCGCACACCTTTAATCCAAGCATGCAAGAGACAGAGGCAGGTGGATCCCAGTGAGTGTGAGGCCAGCCTGGTCTACAGGGGAAGTTCCAGGACAGCCAGAGTTACACAGAGAAATAATGTCTCAAAAACAAAGTAGGGATGGGTATTTTTTGGAGGATGACTATTAATTGTTGGAATATGGGTGTAAAGTTGGCAAGGTCATATTATTCTGTGGAATATTTGTGGAATATATACTATGTGGTATAGGAATAAGAGTAGTCATGCTGCATAATGACCTTCTAGTCAATGATGACAACGTATACAATGGTGGCTTCATATAATTACAAGAGAGTTGAAACATCCTATCACCTAGCAACATTAGTTGTCATGATCAATTCATTAGTTGTGTATTTGTGATGATGCTGGAGGAAACATACTATGCAGGAACATGGAATATGGCTTGTGCAATTATGTACAGTATGTACAAGTTATTGATAAAGGACAATGTTACTGGTTTATGAATTTGCTATATTTATCATTACTTTAGAATGTCGTACATATAAAAAAAAGCTCCCTGTAAAACAGCGTACCATGTTACACTGGCAGCAGGAAGATACAGCTCATGTTTTCTACATCTCACTGCATCCAGAGGTCATGTGAAGCACCTAACTGTTGCTATCTGTGTAAGTATACTCTATGATGTGTACACAATGACAACGTTGTTAAAGGACACAATGTTATGAAGGCTTGGTGATTTCAAAAGTAGTTACATTTTTTTGTTTTTGTTTTTGTTTTTCGAGACAGGGTTTCTCTGTGTAGCTTTGGAGCCTATCCTGGCACTCGCTCTGTAGACCAGGCTGGCCTCGAACTCACAGAGATCCGCCTGCCTCTCCTCCCGAGTGCTGGGATTAAAGGCGTGCGCCATCAATGCTTGGCTAGCAGTTACATTTTTAGAGTGAAATGTGCCACTTCAGAGTGGCTAGTCTATCCTGACCAGCAACTCCATACCATGGAAACTGACAGACTCTCTTTGTAAGAAAGACTTTATTTTCTGCTTAACTATAAGTCAGTATCTATTCGCGTGCATGTGCGTGTGAGTGCAGGTGTTTCAGAGGCCAGAAGAGGACATCAGATGCCTGGAGCTTGGGTCACAGGTGGTTGTGAGCCACATCATGTGGCTTCTCGGAGCCACACTTGGGTCCTCTGTAGAGCAGTCCGTGATGTTAGCAGCTGAGCCACCTCTCCAGTCCTGATGCATTCCCTTTGAGGACAATGTCCAAGCATTCCAGGCTGAAGGTGCATCAGTGCAAGGTGCAAGCCATGGAACCAGGCAGGCTTAGAGCTGATGTGCCTTCCAGGATAGGTAGGAGTTCCAGACAACAGCAACACACTGAACAACAGCCAACCTAGGGGACAGGAATACACTGTGAGGAGGATGGGCAGGGTAGGGAGAGTAACGGAAAAGGATTTGGAAGTTGCAGATTTGGGCCTCCTTCCTTTGAGCCCCATGGAGGAAGAACTGTATGGTTTAGAACACAGGACAACCATTCCTGCCTCTCAGACGAAGGCCTCAAAGCTAGAAAAACCCTTACTTCTTTACTTACTAGTTGTACGTGTGTGCACGCATGCACCTGGAATTCAGAGGACAACTTTGGGAGTTGGCTCTCTCCTTCCACCGTGTGGGACCCAAGGAATGAATTCAGGTCACCAGGTTTGGCAGCAAGAACTCTTACCCACTGAGTCATCTCACCAGTCCACCAGCAGCTCTCTTTCAACAAATGACTCGTCATCCATGCCGCTATCTAGACCTTTCCAAATATATCTGTACACCTTATACCAGCCAACATTTCATTCCCAAAAATAATGCACTGCCTGCCACATAAAATAGCCACATTCATATACAAATGGTTTATTTATTCACTCTCAGGCTCTCATATAGTGCAGGCGCGTCTTGAACTCTTGTAGATACTATGTCACCAAAGACAGTCTTGGACTCCTGATCCTCTCTCTGCCTCTTACTCTTTAGTGTTCTTTTTTTCCCTTTTTTATTTCATTTTATATTCTAACCACAGTTCTTTCTCCCAGCCCTCCTCCCACTCCCCCTCACCTCTCCCCAGTCCACTCCTCCTCATGGGTAAGGGCTCCCATGGGGAGTCGACATAATTTGACACAATAGGTTGGGGCAGGGCTGGGTCCTTCTCCCATGCATTAAGACTGAGCATGGCCGGCTGGAGAGATGGCTCAGAGGTTAAGAGCACTGACTGCTTTTCAAGTGGTCCTGAGTTCCATTCCCAGCAACATGGTGGCTTAGAGCCACCTATAATGGGATCAGGGGCCTCTTCTGGCCTGCACCTGCAGGCAGAACACTGTATACAAAATAAATAAATAAATCTTTAAAGCTGGGAGGCAGAGGCAGGTGGATCTCTGTGAGTTTGAAACCAGCCTGGTCTACAAGAGCTAGTTCCAGGACAGGCTCCAAAACTATACACAGAGAGAAACCGTCTCAAAAAAACAAAAGGAGAAAACAAACAAACAAACAAACAAAATGGGAGCATGCATGTCATCCCATCATAGGGAACAGACTCCAACAAACTAACTTATGTACCAGGTTTGCATTGTGGTCCTACTGCCAGGGGCCCCTCTGATAGTCCAAGTTTCACAACTGTCTCACATACTGAGGGCCTAGTTTGGTCCCCTGGAGTTTCCACAGTTGTAGGTCCCCTTTAGTGTTCCAGTAATAAGTATGTACCCTCATGTCTGGCCTTTTTAAAATTTTTATTATTTTATTTTATGTGCACTGGTGTTTTGTCTGCATGTTTGTCTGTGTGAGAGTGTCAAATCTTGGAATTATAGACTGTTGTTAGCTGCTTTGTGGGTGCTGGGAATTGAACCTGGGTCCTCTGGTAGAGCAGTCAGTGCCCTTAACCACTGAGCCATCTTTCCAACTCCCATGCCTAGCCTTTTGCAAAAGACCCAAGTCTGTTTCCCAACACCCACAACTGACAGCTCATAATGATATGTAACTCCAGTTCCAGGGAATCGATGCTCTCTTCTGGTGCCTGCACATCTGCACACATTCATAGAGCTACACACATAAAAAAAGGGGGGGTTGCTTATTTGATTTGAGACAGGGTCTCACTGCGTAACCTTTGCTAGCTTGGAAACTCACTATACAGATCAGGCTGGCCTTGAACTCAAAGAAATCCAACTGTCTTTACCTCTGAGTACTGACCAAAGGCATGTGCCACCCAGCAAAAATTTTTAAATTTTTTTTTTCCTTCCCTGAGACAGGGTTTCTCTGTGTAACAGTCCTGGCTGTCCTGGAACTCACTTTGTAGGCCAGGCTGGCCTCAAACTCACAGAGATCCGCCTGCCTCTGCTTCCCGAGTGCTGGGATTAAAGGCGTGCGCAACCAACACCCGGCTCAGCCACAAGTTTTATTACTAGAACAAAGTATTCCTCCAAGGAGAACTAACCAGATAAGGCTCCTAGTTGGCAATTGAGTCTACCTTTTGTCTAACTTAGGCTGCCCCTGTACCACAGCCAGGCACTGTCCCTGTAGATGGGCCACCAAACATGGGACTCAGGTGAGATGGAGAAAGGTCTGTGGGAGCAGAAGCCTCCCAGTGGAGCTGACGGGTCAGCCAGGGCAGTCTGAGACAGCCTTCGTGAAGGATCAAAGGTTCTGAATGAAATGCTGGAGACTCTAAGGAGGCCTGACCAGGACAATATGCTGGCTGAAGACCTAAAGTTGGCCAAGGGTGAGATGACTATCATTTTGTATCCAACTGGGAAACAGAGATCTTCCTTCCAGGGTAGGGTAGGGATCTGTCATACCTGTAATGCAGGGGGACCAGGTAGAAGTTGGCTAACTGCACAGCAGGCCAGAGCTATAAGAAGAAAATGTGAACGTCAGTAGGTGCCCGCTACCTGACACCCAGACTCCCCATCCTGCTTGGCCCCACTCTACAATCTACACATAAGAAAAAGCTGAAGGTGGGTGCTTCCCTGAACAAGGTACCCATGTGGGGAATGAGAGAGAGATCCTTATAGAGGGACCCCAACCCCAGGGCATTTCTGGACTAAAGGAGGCAGAACAGCTAGTGGAGGGGTAAACTCTTACATAGTAGTTGGTGATGAGGGCATCAGGGTAGTCCTGCAAAGATGGAGGGAACAGTTAACACTCATATATCCAGTAGCTGCCACACCCCTGCATGAATAGCACACACAGACTCTGTTCCAAGAAGACACTCCTGCCCCAATTCCCCTAGGTTCCTTTCTGCCCCAGCCCAAGACTCCCCTTGCACATCACTGGTGCCTGCCTCCTTCCCTTGGGGCAGCTAGCCTGCTAGCCTGAGAGCTACTTACCCGCTGTAGTTTGGCCCAATTGTCCTGTGCTGACATTCCATTGAGCACCCCTACCAGGGGAAGGAAACAGCCTAGAAAACACGGGGCAAAGGCCCCCTAGGAAAGAGGACTCAAGTGAAAGCTGTGAGTGCCACAGCCCCTACCAGGCTCTCCTCCCCACCTCCCTCTTCCTCAGCTCACCTGATCTATCACCATCTTCTTCAGTGCGTCCACCTTGGTGGTGCCAGGGATAAAGCGGTCCAAAACCTTATACCAGCCTCCAACTACAGGGCCCTAAGAGTAAAAGACAGGGCAGCGGCCACAGTAACAGACCCTTGGCTTTTATATCACCAAGCTCCTCCCCAAGGCAGCAGAAACCAAGTCCTGATGAAGGCAGACTCTAAGACAAAAAGAGGGCACGGGCTGGCCTAGGTGTGACAGGCCAATGGAAACTAAAGGATGGCAGAGAGCGAATTCCACTGCCCAAGGTCCTTCGGTCCCATTCTAAGTATAACTTACCACAAAGCCACAGCCCATGCACACCATGGTCAGAGTCCGGCCTGTCTGGTGTTCCTGGAGACCCCGCCTCTCCACCAGTTGCTGTGAGATAATGTCACCTAGGCCCATCAGTGACCCTGTGCAGGGTACACAGGTGTTGTCAGGACATCTCCCTAAAGGTAAGTCTGTTGACCAAAGGAGGCTCGGCATCTGAGACCTGGGACTTCGTTCTGGCAGATAACCAGCCCCTTCTTGCTGCCTTGAATGGATGGTGACACCTTGCACGTGTCCTATCAAAAACTGAATGAGGGGGCGTAGTGCATGTCTGGCATCCCAGCACTTGGGAGGCAGAGGTAGGAGGACTGCTATGAGTTTGAGGCCAGCCTGGACTACATAGAGAGTCCCAGGCTAGTCAGGGTTACACAGTCACAAACTGCTGGGCGGTGGTGGCGCACACCTTTAACCCCAGCACTAGGGAAGCAGAGGCAGGCAGATCTCTGTGAGTTTGAGACCAGCCTGGTCTACAAGAGCTAGTTCCAGGACAGCCTCCAAAGCCACAGAGAAGCCCTATATCGAAAAACCAAACCAAACCAAACCAAACCAAACCATGAAGGAAGGGGGAGGGGGCAGCAGAGAAAGAGAGGGAAGAGGGAGACAGAAAAACACAGATGAGCAAGCCAGGATCTATGAATATACAGTAAATTGTAAGGGAACCAGGGCTGAAATCCCAGATAGAAGGGAAACCCAAGGTCTATGGCTAAGAACTGTAGAGACTTGAATTGAAAGCCCCCGCCCCCAGAAACATTCCATCTAAACTATTATTTCAGAAGCGAGGAAATGACAGTCCACGATTTCATGTAGATGCTAATGGAGAGCCAGATAACTTGACTCCTGTACACTATTCCTTTGAGAACCCCAAAATGCTAACAGATTATATACAGGAGAATAAGGAACAGCTAGACTCTGGCCAATGTCTTCTGCTTTGGGTTTAGGGGTCTTTATTGATAGAAAACAGCATAGGTAACTCTTTCTAAAATATGCTCAGACAGTGACAGAGAAGCAGCTGGCTTGTTTTGATAATAAGAGCCTCCTCCACAAGGAAGCATCCTGGCCATCTATTACACATCGGAAGACCAGCCCAGACTCTCCTTTTGCACCGTTGTGTTGCCAACAGGACTTAGGGCCATTTCCCCTCAGACCTCTGCACCTGCTTCCCCTCCCCTAACTGCATAGGCACCCACTCCTAGAAGCCAAGACAGAATTGGAGTCATCACTATTTAGGGCCTCCAGCTTGTCGTGATGGCGTGATGGTTTCTAACAAACAGTCACAGGGCCACTTGGGAGTGACCGCATGATCTCTAGCTCACCCATCCATTTCACTGTGTAATGAGAGTTCCCTCTAGACCCCAAGCCACCACTGTCCCCATGCCCTCAATTAGCACTGGGCAAACACTTCCTTCAACCCCATTCCTTGGTCTGGCGCTGGCTCTGACGTCCATGCTGGCAGCACACACAGCTCTGCTCTTCACCCATACCCTTTCCTACAACACCTCCTCAAACCAACCTAGTCAGAGGCGACTGGGGAAAGCTAGAGCTGGTGATGCACAACTCTAGGTGATCTGAGCAGGTGGCCGTCAGGCAGCTCTTCCACTGCATCTCATCAAGTCCCTACAGCCTCTTCCCCCCCACCCCTCCCAGTCTCCCCCAGTCAGGCATGGCCTCCCCAAGGGCAAGGTCAGAATTCCTGGAGGTTTGGGGGGCAGGGTTGGCCAGAGTAGAATCCTAGATATGTTTATTGTCATTCCCCACACCTAACTAGGCCCCTAATAGGTGCTCAGAAAATAGTCAAACAAAAACTTACAGCCCTAAGCAATGAGACTGCTTGGGGGAGGGGCACAAAGAACTCTAAGGTCAACTGAGTATCAGGCACAAAGTGTTAGGATGCCAGGGAACACAGAATATGCACCCTGGTCCCAGTCACACTTCCCTTTGCCCCACCTCCTCCCAGTGTGTGGCCACTAGCTGTGACTCTCTTCAGTGCTCTCTCCTGGAAAATGCATAAAGGGAAAAATGACCCTAAGAAGACTGAAGGCACCTGGGAAATGAAGAGACAACAGTCCACTTTGATAAGATGGTGACAGTTCACAAAGGATTCAACTCATCCTCACAAATGGCCTGGGAGGTAGGCAGCCATATGTCCACCTAACTAAGGAGTCTTTGTAAGATGGAGTGATCCAGTAAGGCGTTCGGAATACTTCAAGCCAGGGGAGCAGGGCCAGAACACAGGCAGAGGCAAGCTCAGAGGCCATGGGCTATCTAAGTAATGCCTAAAGGGCCCACATAGCAAAGATGTTTCCTGGGCAGGTCTGATGGCACAGCCTGCAATCTCAGTTCCTGGGGAGCACAGGCACAAGGACTGCTTCAAGTTCAAAGAGCCTGATCTACATTGTGAGTTCTAGGCCAGACACAGCTTTGTGGTGAGACCTTGTCTCAAGCAAAACCAACCAACCAAACAAACAAACAAAAAATAAAAACATATAAATCAACCAACCAGGAGATAGAGAGATGGCTCAGTAGTATTAGCATTTACAGTTCTTGTAGAGGACCCGGATTTGGTTCCCGGCATTCACAGGGCAGCTTAAAGCCATTTCTAACTCCAGTTCCAGGAGATCTACTGGCCTTTTCTGGTCTCTGGGGGCACTACACACATACATACACATAGGCACATACACACTTAAGAACACTAAAAATCTTATTATGTACCCATCATTCACCTCTGTATTATTCCCCAGACTTCTATATCCTCTGTTTGTTGTTACCCATAGGGAGGGCAGGTAGCAATATTTTTGCAAAATCAAGATGTTCATATTTCTTCTCTTCATGGTTTATCAATAGTCATACAAGCTAGAGGCAGAACTCATATGAAAACTGATTTCCCAATGTCATGGTTCTGGAAACTTTCAGCTATGGTGTCCTGATGTCCACAAGAGTAAGTGGAGTCCCCTCTCATAGGTTATTTTGTTTGTTTGTAGGGGTGAGTTCCATGGCATATTGATGATGAGTAGTCTATATATATTTATACTTAGACTGATTCCCCCTTTCAGTGAAGGTGTGTCTGTTATATGGTAAATGCTGGCTGTAGTTCCTGATTGCTTAGGGTGCTTTGATAAACTTCCTTTGGGGAAATGGAAGTGACCTGTTCAAACTCTCAGACAGCCATAGTTATTCTTTTTGTAGCACCTGTAAGAGTAGCAACGGTGAGGCTGGTGCATGTGAGCATTGTCTGTGTATCCCCTAGCCCAAACCTTTGAGTCCAGGTCCCAAGCCACACCCATCATGCCTGAGGCAGAACAAGGTGACAAACCATCTTCAGAGCAATGAGGTGAGGAGGCCCACCCAGGTCTGTTCATTTCTGACACAACAGCACCCTGAAGTTTGTCTTCTGCTCATAGGAGATTACAGCCACTGGACCTGCAGCAACTCCAGGATGGCCAAAAACTTTGGTGCATGCCAAGAGCAAGGCTTGCATTCCTGGTCCAAGTGAGCCTTCAATAGGAAGGGCTCAAATATCCAAACTTTTTATCCTATTTTCTCCAGCCCAGAACCCAAACACCCAAACCCCTCCAATATCTGGTTAACCAGGATGGCATAGTGATCTGCTTCCTCTCTCCTTGAACTTAAGAGTTGGAGTTGGAAGCCTCAAAACACATAATGCCCAGACCCCTGGTGGGACACAGTGAGAGGTTGCTGGGCAGTGGTGCTCCAAAGCCAGGCTGGGCACAGAGCCTACTGAGTAGACACTGGTTCTGAGTATGACATCATGCCTCTGGGTAGATGCCAGTTCTCATTCGTCACTCCCCACTGGATCCAGGGGTGGGTGGAAGAGATGCTTGGCTCTGGACACTAGTCTATTTGAGACCATCCCCTGCCCATCAGTGGAAAAGCCCAGCTTTCCCACCCTCTTCCAAGGCATGAGAAGAGCCAAATCTCCTGCCTCCCATTCGTTCCTACACTTGCTTTTGGAAAGAGTCTTAGTACAAGAAAATATAGTGTTAATGGAAGATGAGATGCAGATGGGCAGGAAGTGGCTTCTTCCTGGAATGAGGGAGCATGGGGTCTCCAGGTAAAGATATTCTTGGCACAGAGCCAGCTGTGCTGGTGAGTAAGGGGCTTCCCAGCTGGTGCAGGAGCATGACTTGACATAGGGCCCAGGGGCCGCTGAAGCTCTACTGAGAAGAGGAAGCACATTCCCCAGGACGGGTCTGAGTGCTCAGCTCACTACTGTCCACAAGTACCCTACCAAAGAGAATGAGACAAAATGGCCAGTTCTGCAGCTTCTCATGTCTAAACCAAGCTGGGTTGACACTCAGGTTCCAAGGAAATCAGTGCCTACAGTTTTGCTGCTCTGGTGTCCTGCAATGGATGGCCCTGGGCCCTGGGCCCACCGGAGACTGGAAGAGCCCTCCAGAAAGGAAGGGTTGAAGCTGACTCAGACTGCAGAACACACAGTCAATGTTTCGCCCAGGCTGCCCTGGTCGTGACTCTGGCTTGGCCCAAAATACCCTGGTGTATTAGCCACTTCCGCTGAACCGTCTCGGATCTTGATTCACCTGCCTCTTGCTCTAGTTATGACTACAACTGAAACAGACAGGCTTCCTTCAGGCCAGGCATAACCAGGTCTTCCTGTCAGTGCCTCTGGGAAGGAGTTAAATGTTGCTGGGGTAGCTGACCAGTCTAAGATAGAAGCCCGTGGATAAGGTCTCTTCTCCAGAAGTGACTATTCATCTGATAAGGCATTTCAAATTGCTTCTTAGTTCCAAGGTACGGAGCCACAGGGAATCCCGAAGAGCGGCTGATTTAATAAAGCACCCTTCATACTTGCTCTCCCTCTCGCCCTGAGGAAGGACTACTTTTTAAAAAATTTTTTTTCTTTCTTTTTCTTCCTTTCCTTTTTTTTTTTTTTTTTTTAATGTGTGTTGGTGTTTTGCCTGCATGAGGGCATCAGGTCCCCTGGATTGGAGTTACAGACAGTTGTGAGTTACCATGTGGATGCTGGGAATTGAACACGGGTCCTCTGGAAGAGCAGTCAGTGTTCTTAACTGCAGAGCTATCTCTCCAGCCCCTGGAAGGCTTATTTTCTAACCTGTGCCATAAGCTTCAGGATCTGCTGTTCAAAAAAACCAAGACTAAGATACTTATCATAAGCTGGGCATAGTGCAAGTCTATGTCCTAGGCAATTGAAAGCTGAAGTAGGTGGACTGATGAGTTCAAAGCTAGCCTGAGCTACACCAAGAGTTTTAGGCAGTTTTAGGTCTGGACTACACAGTGAGGTTCTGATTGAAAACAACCAGCCCTGGCATAGTGGTACACCCCTTTAATCTCAGCACTTGGGAGGCAGAGGCAAGTGGATTTCTGTGAGTTCCAGGTCAGTCTGGTCTACACAGTGAGTTAAAGAACAGCCAGGGCTACACAATGAGACCCTGCCTCAAAATAAATAAATAAATAAGCAAGCAAACAAACAAATAAATAAGTGAAAATAATTAAAAGATACTTTTTCCATGTTTAGGTTTATGGAAAGTGGAACAAACCCAGCCCAAAAAGAGGAGCCTGCTGTACATGGGCTGCCAATAATCATAGGAAGGAAGCCGGGCGTTGGTGGCACACATCTTTAATCCCAGCACTTGGGAGGCAGAGGCAGGTGGATCTCTGAGAGTTCAAGGCCATCGTGGTCTACAGAGAGAGTTCTAGGACAGGCTCCAAAGCTACAGAGAAACCCTGTCTCGGGGAAAAAAAAGAAAAGAAAAAAATTCATAGGAAGGTTTTTGTACATTTAAAAAAGTTCCAGTCAATTCCAAGAGAGAACTGACTTCACACAGGTAACCCATGTATGCACATGCACAATAAATTATGTAAGAAAAACAATAAAAGGTACAAAAGGATAGGTATATCGTCCAGAGAGAACGCTTGCCTAGCATGTGTGAGGCTGTAGCTTCCACCTTTAGTACTTTGAGTAAATAAATAACACTTCCTTCCTTAGCTTCTTCTCAGAGATAATTCCTGTAACTAACCTTTTAAGTCTAATTGAGGAAACTGAGGCCCAAAGAGGTTTATTGACGTGGACTAATTAGGCAGCTACTAAGTGCTATGCTCTGAGATTCAGATCTTGGCCTTCTAGCTCCAAGTTTGAAATCTCTGTTCTGTTTCCCAGTGTGAGCTATCCCAGGGGACCTCTGGAGCCACTGTGCTCAGAAAACAGTCCAAAATGGTAAGGCGAGATAGGCCCACCCCACCCTTTATCTTCTGGCTGCTCCAAATAGCCTGAGCACCAAGGAAGAAAGTCTGAGAGAAATGTTAGGAGGCTACAGGTTGCTTCAGGACCAAATAAGGATGCAGCAGTTTCAGGAGAAATATACATATGAGAACCCCGCACAGACACTTAGCCCCAGTTAACCCCGCTTTTGCACTTGCGTCTCTTGAAGCTTTAGTTCCTGCCTTTGTCATCTGTGGATCTTTTAGGTAGGGAAACATGACTGCCCTTCCATCTTCATAAGAATCAAGAGATGGCTGCAAGGGGGGACCTTCTATCTGGCAGCCAGGGGCCCTGAGGGAATCTGAGGCTGGGCAGAGGGCCCAGCGTGTCAGTTCCCATCACAGCCACACTGTCCAGCATGAGTCACCACACACTCAGCCAGGTGAGTCATGCAGGCCGGACACTCTGAGGACAAGAGGTGGATGGGCACAGGACACTATCAAGGGGCTAGGGAGGAGTAAAGGGGTCCACCTTCTCACCAGTAGTTTCTAATGCTCATATAGGGCTATTCTGCTAATGGAACCACTGTCCTACACTGGCCTTTAGTCTCCCTCTTTCCTCTCAGAAGCCCACGTCCCTCCTTAGAATTTATGACCAGATCCTCCACAGCACTACTCTGTGGTCAGAGAACTGATGGTGCTTCTCTGTCCTGTCCCCGTGTACTAGTAAACCAGCAGAATGGAGGTAGGAACAGCCGATACTTCATCACTGGGTGTGGAATCAAAGGCCCCACTTAGCGTACTATCTGGTGACAGGGGCCAAGCTCAGGACAGCAGTCATGCAGCCAGATGGCTGCGATGGGACTGCTGCAAGTTCAAGGCCACTCTGGCTACACAGTCAGGTCAGCCTGGGCTAGAGTGTGACTCTTGTCTTGAAATAAAAAAGAAGCAAAGAAGTAGAATGCATGAGCTGAGGAGAGGGCCTCAAGTCAGTTTTAATATTATTTAAACTTCAGATACATAACTGTTTTGGATATTTCACAATAAAAAATACTAAGAAAAATAAACTGAAGTAAGTTACCTCAGCACTTGTTAGGTGTGTGGTCTAATATGGACTCAAGTAATCTAACAGCCCTCTGGAGGCCCCTGTGACACAATGCATGCATATGAATGTGCTTGGCACACTATGAAATGAGGGAGGAAAACATTTAACTTCCCAAAGTGGGCAGTCTCCTGGGGACAATGCTTTTAAGAATGGACTATTTAAGCCACTCAGCAGTGGTACAACCCTTTGATCCCAGCACTTGGGATCTCTAAGTTTAAGGCCAGCCTAGTCTATAGAATTCCAGGACAGCCAGGGTTACTCAGATAAACCCTGTCTTGAAAAACAAACAAACAAAAAGGATTACTTAGGCTTGTGAGGACTTTCAGTCCTACTGGACAGAACTGTGTGTGCCTCTCTCTCTTTTTAGATATATTGTTACCACTTTTTAATTATTTTAAATTATCTGTGTGTGTGGGGGGGGTGCAAGAGAGTGCAGGTGCCCCAAGTGGCTGAAGGTGTCGGATCCCCCTGGAACTGGAGTTACAGGTGGCTCTGAGCCAGACAAGGGTGCTAGGTCCTCCACAAGAGCCAGCATGTGCTGTTAACCTCTGAGCCATCTCTCTAGCGCCCCAGTGTGTATATCTTAGGAATAGCTTTGGGACTTCGCCTTCCAAAACAGACTAATTCCGGATGAAGAGAAAGTCAGCTCCTCCAGGGGGGCTAAATAGGAGGAAGTAGGTGCCTCTTCCTCCTCAAGTCAGCCACTCTAGTCATGCCCTGATCGCAGAGAGACACTCACCAGCTGTCAGAACCTGGACTTTCCACGGATGTGCAGCCAGGGCCCTCTGGTATGCCCGCCAGAGTGCCATGCCTCCTGTCAAACCAAGAGGAGAAGTCACTCCCACTGCCCTTCCTCACAGTAAAGAACACGCCTGCCATTTCCTATGCTCACTCTCTCCACTTTAAAAACCTGCAAATGACAGAGGCCTCAGAAAGGCTGCTTACTGGGCAATGTCCTGCCTCATGGTCACTTTAGACAACTGGAGAAGCCTGTCGTTTGGACACTCGCAGTCCAGGAGAAATGTTAGTGCCTGGGCCCTAGATACTTAGAACTTTAGAATTCCCAGAGGCTGCCTCTGATACCCCAAACCGGGTCCTGAAGCAAGGCTACCTGGGGGCCTCCAGATCTGATCTAAACACGAGGTCACGTTTACTCTAGCTTCTATCCAGAGTCTAGGTTTCTGCCCCATCCCAAGCAAACACGATGGGTCCCCAATTTGAGTGCACCTCCACACCGGAAATGAACCACGAGCTGGGTCTGGAAGGTCACATGACCTGCAGGAGCTTATGGCCCACAGCGCTTTAAAACACTGACTGCCAAGAATCCTCCACTCACCTGAAAGCCAGCAAGCAATGCGTGGAAGCTTCTCCCACGTGACCGGCGCTGGCTGAGGGACTTCCGTATCGAGCCCCGCCCCTTCCGTCTGCATGAAGCCTGTCGTTTGGACACTCGCAGTCCAGGAGAAATGTTAGTGCCTGGGCCCTAGATACTTATTGTAACATGGCTCAGCCGGCCACCTAGTGGGCAGCATCCTTCTCATGGAGTGCACCAAACAGCGGTGTGTATGCGGGGGGAGGCCTGGTCTGTGCTTCCCTATACCTGTCTGGTCCCGGGTCCCACCCCACAGGTCCCCACTATCCCAGTCTCCGGGAGCTAGCCCGGTCTGGACTCCCTCGTTTGAAAACTTGAATGCTGGACTCGGATTTGTGCTTCATACCAAAATGTTAAGCTGTGTACGAGATATTTTCCAACATGCAGTCGACTTCCACGAAACCAGTGGCATAGCAGATTCTGAGAGCACCCGTGTTAGCTCCCTGTAAAGCCTTTGTCATGAGCTTGCAGTGTGCCTACCAGGGTTCCTTACATTTTAGAGATGTGCAAGAGGGGACCCAATGGAGTCATTTTAAGCAAAGAGGCATACACCTGTTTGAAAAATCAGGGAACTAATTCTCCTCCCAGCTGTAACACCCAAAGCCTTGCAATTACCTTCCCCAGGTAGGTATCCATTCCAAAGTCCTGAGAAAGCTCAACTTTCTTGTTCTCCTTCTGCCTACCCCAGCTCATTTACTAAACTCCTGTATGGCTACTGAAGGGTGAATGATTAGCTACTAGAGAGAATAAGGATTCAATGGAATTCAGATTCCTGTGTACAGAACACGCTAAAGGAATTTACGCCAGTGGATGTAAAGGACCAAATGTTCGAGACTGTAAGTGTTTTTATGGGTTCAGATCTCAGTGCTAGATTTGGTAGTTATGCGACCGTATTCAGATTGCTTAACCTCTCAGAATCTATTCAGTACATAAAACACTATACCCGATAGAGCTCTACAACATATGTAAAGCACCCAAGAGCAAATTTATCCAGCCTTCTCTGAAGCACATGGAGTGCCTTCCCTGTCCACCCAACTCAGAGAGAAGGGGTTCCCTGGTGAAATCTGATCGGCTTTTGTTTTTTGGGGGACTGAACCAAGGTCCTTGTATATGCTAAGCACATGGTCTTCCACTGACCTACAACACCCCAGCCCTGAGATAAGGTCTTGAAGGATGAACAGGATTTAGGTGATGCTAGGAAAAGACAACTGGAGAAGGCAACAAACTAGGCTAAGGCACAAAGGAAGCACAGAAAATCAATAGAGTATAAGGTAGATAGATGGGTACACTGGGAAGGAATAAAATGAGAAAAGGTTCATGGGAAAGGGAAAAGAACAGCAGAAAACATCGCCCGCATTTTCTTGACTTCAAGACGAGGGCTGCAGGGCAGCTGGCACCAGTCTACCACACCTCAGCCTTTAATTCCCAGGCCCCACCTTCTCTACCACTGCAAGCAGGGAAACATGGATGCGCTGTGTCAAAGGGTTGCTCTGCAGGACAAGCCAAGCTTCTCTGCAATGGAAGGCACTTCTTTATTAGTTCAAAAAGCAAGCCTGACACAGCCTGAGTTGGATCACAACAGAGTGGTACAACACTTGGCTCCTTCACACCAGCATGGGTTGTGGTCCTTCTGCTGCTTAAGGACTTCCTATAGGCCTGCTCCCTCTTCTGTATAGGAAGGGACTGAACTACTTGATTCTCTTCTGAAAGATTTGGCATTTGACAGATCTTCTATATACTCAGGCAGAAAGCTGTTCCCAGATATGACAGACCAGTCTTGAGTGCTCTAAAGTCTAGGTTTTGTTTCAGGTACTATCTAGAATGCATCTCTTCCAAGAGGAAGCAGGAGACCTATTTGTTTCCTATTTCCTAAGATGGTCTAACTACTTCCTTCCAAACCTCAGCCTGCACCCCTACATGTCCCATGGCTGTGGTCTGGCGATTTCACATCACTGGGGCTGCCTGTGCTTTCGAGGCAGTATCTCAGTCATGTGAGGTGCAGCTATCCACAAGAGGACTCTATCCAGATGACAATACATTATTGGGTTCTAAATACTTTCTATACAGAGTTTAAACATGTTTAATATGTCAACAATGTGACCATATCATGAAGATCAAAAATCATGACTTGTAAAAGAATGATTGAAATAACTAAAGATATTTAATCTAGAGAAAAAAATGGCTTGGAAACACATGATAGCTACTGTTAAGTACTGAAAAGGGCACTCACAGGGAAGAATGACTCAATCTCCTAACACCCATTAGTAAAATTAATAGAGGTATAATCTTGACTTGATAGAAAGGAAATTTTTTTCTTACTTTTTGGTTTTATGAGATAGCCCAGACTGAATGCAAAATTGTGATCCTCCTGCCTCGGCCTCCCAAGTGCTGGGATTGCGGGTGTGCACCATTATACCCAGCTCCAAAAATTTAAAAAACACTACTATCTAGGAGTGTTCAAGTAGTGTCACGTGACCAATGATTGGGAATATTTCATAAGCAGGAGCCATTAAGAGCTGGCCGCTGTTCTACTGTAGGGAGTTTATGGTGTTCCTCAGTTAAAGTATTACGAGCAGCTTCAGTCCAATAAGTTACTGTCCCCCCATTGGGCCTGTGTGTTGGTTATTCTAAAGAGGAAGAATGGAAGGCAGTAACATCAAATCCTGGAAAAGGGCAGGAGCCTTCATGAAGATATCCTTTCCGACTCTCCAAACACCCACTCACAAGTGGTCTCAAAAACACCCAGTACCTTTACTTAGCTTTACCTCCTTCACAATATGCTCAATATGAGCAATTTGACTCCCAAGCCTAGGTCAGGCCTGAGTGTTTCTTGTGAGCCACGGTTTTAGGCATAGGAATTGTTGTGGAGGGGGAGCCCCCCTACCTGCAGGGAGCTGTGACCATAGAAGTCTGTGAAAGGAGAGGGATTAAGGAGTTCTGGGCAGATAGGCCTAAAGATCTAGGCCTGGCACCATCACTGTGCATGGGGGCCATTTGTTCTTGGCAGACTTCAATCCAAGAGCTCTGTGTGGACCAGACTAGGGATTGGGGGAAAGGCAATGGCTGGCTGGAGAGAAACCAGGCCCTTCAGTTGAAAAGGAGGTTTGGAACATAGCATTGAAGTGGGCTCGGCTTTCAAGCTGCACACGGTGGGCCAGCGGGGAGGTGAGTCCACGGACAAAATGGATCCGAACCAGCCCTGACTGCCCCCCAGATACCAGCCATCCATAGGAATCCAGGTTTGGGCTGAAACGTACCTGTGGAGAGAACAGAAAACCAAAAAGAGCCTCAGGGGTTGTCTTAGGGTAACCCCTAGCCATGTAAGCTTTAAAAAATGGTCACTACAAGCCGGGCGTTGGTGGCACATGCCTTTAATCCCAGTACTCAGGAGGCAGAGGCAAGAGGATCTCTGTGAGTCAGAGACCAACCTGGTCTACAGAGCAAGTTCCAGGACAGGCTTCAAAACAATGCAAAGAAACCCTGTCTCAAAAAAGAAAAACAAAAAAAGAAAAAAGAAAGAAAAAGAAAAACAAACAAAAAGTCACTACACCTTTAGCCCCAGTACCCAGAAGGCAAATGCAGATGTATACCTGTATCTCTGTGAGTTTGAGGCCAACTCAGGAGAGCCAGGGATACATAGAAACATCCTCTCTCAAAAAACACCCAAAACCAATCAACCAAATAAATAAAAAAAAACAAGTCACTATCAGGAGGCCTGGACCACGAGAGACAGTCAATGAATGAGCTCTATACATCATGCCCCAGGAGATGCTACCAAGGCTGCTTCTCCTCTAGCCATCTCTGCTGCCTTTTAGTCTCACATTCTACTGATCACAGGCACGGGTGGGGGGGGGGGGGTTGGAAGATCTCACCTTGTGAAAAGCTTCAAGTTGCAGCCTGTCCAGGCAAAGCTGAGAGTGTCCCTCTCCTTCCTGCATGCGCAACATCGGTTCTCTACGGAGCAGGTTGTGGAAGGAACTCTGGGGAACAGAAGTGGAATTCCTTAGCTTTTCCTGTTATCTAAGGTTTCTATTTTTTCTAATGCCACACTGATTTGTAGCCACAACTTACCAGATCTGTATCTTGAAAGAGTAAGTAGTGGTGATTGATGGTCTCAGTGTAAGTTCTTGCTTTGGGAGGATTGGGGGTCTCAGAGGAGGTCGAGGAGTCTTGGTCTTCAGGACTGTCCTGGTAAGCTATCAGATCTGCTTTATATATGGGCTAGAAGAAGACCGTAAGATTAGTGTCTTGCATAAAATAAAAGTTCAAAGAATAACTTTTGGGCGTCAATTCTCTCTTCTATCCTGTGGTCCCAGGGATTGACTTCAGTGAACACAGACGTAGCCAGTGTTTATATACTGAGACAGCTCTCCAGCCTAAGGTAGATTTTTTTTTTTCCCCTTTTGGTTTTCTGTTGTTGTTTGAAGAAGGGTTTCTCTGTATAGCCCTAGCTATCCTGGAACTCAGTATGCAAACCAGGCTGGCCTCAGAACTCACAAAGATCTGCCAGCCTCTGCCTCCCAAGTGCTGGGATTAAAGGTGTGTGCCACCACCTGAGATTAGACTTTAAAATACTGAGCACAAAAGCAGAAAGTAAACTGGTTTACTGTGGCAAAGTCTCATAAGTAGTAAGAATAAAAATACACTTAAAACCAGTGTGTAGTGGCGCATGCCTTTAATCCCAGCACTTAGAAGGCAGAAGCAAGCAGATCTCTGTGAGTTTGAGGCTAGCCTGGTCCACAGAGTGAGTTCCAAGACATCCAGGACTGTTACACAGAGAAACCCTGTCTTGAAAAACCAAAAGAAAAACAAACAAAACCCTGGGGCTAGCATGATGGCTGTGGGTAAAGCTCTGGCTGCTAAGCCTGGTAACTTGAGTTTAATCTCCAGGATCTAAATGGTAGGGAGAGAAATGACTCTCAAAAGTTGTCCTCTGGTCACACACAAACCATGGCATGCACACCACCTCCCATACACATACAGAATAATATAATGACAGCAACATTTAAAAAAAAAAAAAAAAAAAAAGCATGCTCAGCTCCAATAGGGCAGAGAATATATCTAATTCCTTGTTACAAGGACACTATATCAGAGCTTGGAGAACAAGCAGTAGTTTGCATTCTACCATGAGTTGACAAGGAAAGTAGATTATGACCTAATAGGTGGATGTTTGTATACTTACAAATCTTCTTTCTGCAGGTTTCTTGACATTAATTGGGTTTGATGCCATATCAGGTAAAATAGCTGCAATGAGCTCCCCAGATATATCTCCTGCAGCTACTGTCCCAAGCCAGTCTGAACCTGAAAGACTCTAATAGGAAGAGACATTATTTATTTCACCCATCCACTCATTCATTCCTGTGATAGTGACTATACAGTCTGAGATTGAGGAGAGATATACAAAGAAATGACTCATGTCCCTCATGATAATCATATACTGTTCCTCCTTATACATGTTCCTCTGACCCTGACTACTAAAGTGAGCGAATGAGCATCTCTGGCATACTGAAGCTTGGGGAAGGAGAGGCTCACCCAGACGGTGCCTTTTCGTGGAGCAGTAAAGTAGGCCTTAAAACCAAGGTAACCAGCATCGATGTAATGAATTCCACAGAGTCCGTAACTATAAAAGAAAGAGATAAAATAAACTGTACTTCTCCGAAGAGTAAGTTCTTTTCTTACAGAATTCAAAATAACCCAGAATCCAACCCTCCTTTCTCCAGTTTGTGCCCCAACCCTTAGGGCCTGTCCCCAGAACTCATATCTTCATCTTGCCGTACGAGGCATAGCAGTTGTCCTGGGCCACTGTGACACCGTTGTAGGGAAGCAGCCAGGAAAGCTCTGTACTCAAGAAGCGCTTGATACAGTTTATTGGTTCATAAGGTCGCCGAAGATCCCAGAATTTGATTTTCCGGTCACTCCCCGCAGAAACCAGGAAATGACTGAAAAGATAGGAGAACAAATCAGAGCCAGTATGGAAGAGTTCAGTCTGCTGCAGTCTCCTCCACAGCCCTCTTATCCTGTACCTGTTAGCTTTGCACCACTGAATTGTACGAACAGCCTGGTCGTGGGCTAGGAAACACTGGAAGGGATATAGTTTTAAGGAGCCATCAGAGAGATGTATCCGTTGGAGGGGTGAATTAGTGGGAAGATTCCAGAAAACCACCATGCCTGAAGTAGGAATAGAATATGTAGGCATTAAAGCAGCGTTTCTCAACCTGAGGGTCATGACACCTTTGACAAACTTCTATCTCCAAAAATATTCTCATTATGATTCGTAACTGTAGCAAAATTACAGTCATGAAGTAGTGACGAAATAATTTTATATTTGGGGGTAAGCACAACATGAGGAACCGTGTTAATGGTTGCAGTATTAGGAAGGCTGAGAACCATTTTGATTCCGTGTTCTCACTTCTTTCTTTGGGACCCAGACTTTGTCTCTTGCTCTCAAATCCAAACTACAGTCAAAGAGTAGGAATGATGATGACCACTGAGCTCTCCCTCCCAGCTCAAATACCCAACACGACATCAACCAGAAGTGACAGCTTAGTCCTGGGCGTGCATCTGAAGTTTCAGTTTGAGTATATCTGATGGCTGCTAAATAAAAGTAAGACTTTTAAACTTTTTATTGTATATTTGTCCATGTATGGGTATGTGTTTATGTGAGATGCCAGAAGAGGGCTGTGGATCTCCTAGAGCAGGATTTGCAGGTGGCTCTGAGCTGCCCCATATGAGCGCAGGAACTGAATTTAAGTCCTCTGCAAGAGCAGTGCATGCTCTTAACTGCTGAGTCACTTGTTGGGCCTCAGAGTAAAATTGTGCACATCTGCTAATACTGGCACATGCTTATAATCTCAGCATTCGGGCTGAAGCAGGATGATTTGCCTGGGACACACATAAAACTCTATCTCAACCAAATAAACCAAAAGCCCTTTAGAATAGCAGTTGACAAACTATAACCAACAGACCTGACAGATTCAGTGTTGTCTTTTTGTTTTGGTACTAGGGACTAAACTTGTCTCATGCATGCCAGGCAAGTGCTTCACCTCAAGGGGATGGAGTTATAGCCCCAGTGTCACACTCTTTTGAGACAGTATCTTAGTCTGCAGCCTAGGTTGGCCTCACACTACACTCACAGCATTCTTCTGTCGCCGCCTATGTGTTGGGAAAGTAGTTATCAGCCTCAATGCTTGGCTTAGGCTGCCTGTTTTGGTAAGTTATACTGAAATACTGTCACATCTATTCATTTATGAAATGTCTAGGGTTGATTATTTATCCAAATAGCAGACTTTAGCACCAACAATGGCAAATTAGCTTGGGAGGCAGAGGCAGGCGGATCTCTGTGAGTTTGAGACCAGCCTGGTCTACAAGAGCAAGTTCCAGGACAGCCTCCAAAGCCACAGAGAAACCCTGTCTCAGGGGGGAAAAAAGTCTAATTTTACTCCACAAGAATAATAAAAGCAACAAAATGCAGAGGAAAAGACAACAAATGTACAAACAGAAAACAACTTGGTTGACTTAAAACAACCAAGGGGTTGAAGAGATGGCTCAGTGGTTAAGAATACTAGATGCTCTTCCAGAGGTCCTGAGTTCAATTCCCAGCAACCACATGATGGATCACAACCATCTGTAATGAGATCTGGTGACCTCTTCTGGCCTGCAGGGA